GTTTCATGATCTCATTAACGATAGCCAAATGGTGGCCGCTTTAAGGCCGAAAATGCATTGAAATCGCACATTTTCACCATTCCGGACCCGTATCTCAGTTATGCATGGATGGATTTTGTTCAAATTTGGTACATACATTAAACATAATAGGACCTTGATGCACGTCTTTTTTTTTTTCGGATCAAGTTCGAAATGGCCGACTGGCGGCCATTTTGTTAAAGAATTCAGTTCTGGATCCGTATCCAAGACATGTCTGGATTGATCAAGTTCAAACTTCACACACACATGGTACATCATGTCACAAATAGATATGTGCCTTTGTTTCATGATCTGCTTAACAATAGCGAAATGATGGCCATTTTAAGGCCGAAAATGCATCAAAATCACGTATTTTCACAATTCCAGAACCGGATCTCAGTCATGCATGGATGGATTTTGTTCAGATTTAGCACAATGTGTTGTACATATGCAGGTGCATTTCGGTCATGATCTGCTTTGAATGTATATGTCACTCAAATATGAACGGAACGGGGACTTGTCATTGACAATGACTTGTTTATATTTGTGGTTTGATTCAAAACTGGTGAATCCTCCCCATTTCAAGAAAAGTAATAGACTATTTTTCGTTCACTGCGAGAATCACGCGTTATGCGTGAAATCGAACGTAAAAACAGGACAAACAAAGGTCATAGCGTCGTAGTGGCGTCAAACATCGCGTGGGTTTCGACAAAGGCGAAGTATTTTGGGGGACATTTCCATGCTTAATAATGTGCTGTCCACATTTGATGATAGGCAATTTTTATTAAGTAAGGGTATTCAGAAGCAATATTCCCCTGTCGAAGATTGGCCGGTCGATGTGAGTTACGAAATAAAGAAATTCTAGTTCAAAATCAAATCGTTTGATGTTCGACGCACGTTTTTCATACATCTTGCGAGATCTCGCAATTGTACGGAAAATCCCCTATTCATGGCGGTATGAATCTTGCTTTCTTAGTGATATTTTGTAAATTACAATTAAACACTTAAGTTGCTCGTTGTAGTTCATGATAACTAAAGTCATGTACAAGGCTGGACTTTGACATTTATGTCTTGTTAATAGCTGATATAACATGCTCTCATATGTAAATTAGCTATATTGTAATATAATACTTTCCAACTAATCATGTGAATTTGAAATTTCTAACTGCAATAAAGCACAAATGTTGTGAGTCAAAGAAAAGAAACTTAAGTTTTGTAGCAGTGAACTTATAACTAAGGTTTGTGACAAAAATTTAATGATTTGAGATGAAGTCATAGTAATTGTGTCTTTTTCATTTTTTTTTCAGGAAATTTAGAATGGTTGGATAAAAATCGAAAAAGATGTTTAATTATGTGGAGAACCCCAGAGGAGTGGGGATCACTTATATATCAATGGGTAGGTATTTGAATAATGTGAGTATGCTATAGGACTGTACTGCAAAGGTTGATGTGGTCATTTTACTCTTAGTGTATCTTCATAATAACCTAATTAGTGTAATGCATCTTCCCAATCTCACTACTTGTTATATGAAGCCCATAATTGATCATGCTGATAAGAACTCATCTCGCTTTCATGAATTTTGTTTCAAACATGTCCACCATTCCATATTTGGAATTTGCATTACCTTATATGGAAACAGATATCCCATGTGATACTGCAAAATTAAGGCAAGCTAGAATATTTGAAGATATGATCACAGATATATATATATATATATATATATATATACATGTAAATAAAAATTTATTTAAACAAAAAAACTATTTGGGCTTCAAAATTTCTAGTATATGTCATTTTTATGGCATCTGGAACATAGCACTAGGAAATAGCATTCTTTTATGTGTTACAGTGCCATTTTTGAGAAAATTGTCTTAATATTTTTTTTAAATCACTGTCTTCAGGAAATTAAAGAAAAATTGCATTGTTCTTTAAAACCCTAGTTTTTAAAATAATTCTGGGCAACAAAAGTAATCCGTCATTCCCAATATATTATTTTTTCTGTCTATGTCTAGACAATTTGAGATATGACATAATATCTCTGCCATAGGAACCTATGGTAAAAGCAGAATAAAAATGGCCACCATCCACTAAAATACAAACATCTCAGAAACTAGACTGGTGAACCCCAACTTTTTTTAAGTCAATATCCTTATATTACCCGAGAGTACAGTTTATTGAAAAACAAATAATTTCCAAAAATAATTTCCATTTATGAGTAGGCTTCTATCTTAATAAAACATACTTGCAAGAATCAATATGATAAATTGGTCTTCCTGTGATTAATGGCTTCTTCTTGCATTATTATCTTTTGTTTTCAGGCATCTAGTAATAGTTTATTGAACAGTGTCTGTACATTGTACGAGTTGGTCAGTGGAGATGATACAGTCAAAGAAGGTGAGTTTTCTTCAATCTTGTCTGTCTTTGATCGATAACAGCAATAACATCTACTTTCAATATTTTTAGCAAACATTGTGTATAGACTATCTTTTAGGTTCATTAATTAGCCAAGAAAATAATGAGGCCAAACAGACTGTCTATTCAGAAAGAAGATGGTCAATTGTAGCAGTGTCCAACCAGCTTGATGAAACAAAGCTGACATTCGGACACATGTGTCAATTTTGGTTATTTCTTATTTGTGAAAAATTGATTACTCAAACATTTGCTGGATTAAAGAGAGTATTTCACAATAACTACTATTGCACAATCTATTGATACATTGTTTTTGACAGGAAACAGAAGCATTGCAAAACATTGAAATAAAAATAAAATAAAAAACTATATGGGTCTTAATTATTCACTGGGTTTTGTTTTCGCCTATTTTGCTGATAGCCAAATGCTCTGAATTAAAACCCAGTAAACAAAATAGACAAATTATGTGAATATCCCGACAATACCAAATCTGCTAACAGTAAACTCAGTCCACAAAGTTGACGAATCCAGTGAATATCCCAACAATACCAAATCTGCTAACAGTAAACTCAGTCCACAAAGTTGACGAATCCAGTGAATATCCCGACAATACCAAATCTGCTTATAGTAAACTCAGTGAGTAATTCTCCCTCTGCAGTACTTAGAATTTTTCAAATCCGGACAATATGAAAACTAGAATATCATTGTTTTATACAAGATACACGTCGTGTAATATAGAGGATAAGACGAGTTCATAGGCTCTGCACTTTTTTGTCAATGACCGAGTTGTTGCCACTTCTCAATATTCCAAAACAAAAGATGGTTGATTATTACAACATAGTGTTTTATATTACAGAGTTCCATGATTTGGATGGTACTCTATTACGACGTGCATTGAAGACACTACAGGTGCAAATGAAAGCTGAAATCATAGTCTTCGATGGAAATGAAGGAGTCAAATTTTTCTGAAATATTTAATACATTCAACAAATATGATGAAAATAATTACTACATCTTTTTTGCTGAATATACAGCAGAATATCTTTCAAAGTTTTGTATTTCAAAAATTGTGCAAGATATGTTAAAGGAGTTGGTCATCAAGTTTGTGTAAACTAGCAATGTGGTTTTGGAACTTGTATCAAGCACAGCACAGCACAGCAAGATGACCATTGCCCATAATTATTACTGAAAAGTTTAGTGACTGTAAAATAAGACTGCATTTATGCAAGTTTTGGCAAACAGTGAAAATTAAATTTTGGTGCAATCACATGGCAGAATGCCTTACAAATACAACTAGCTGTCAATCATCATTTTCTATTTATGGGTGAGTACTGGTAGTATTTCTAGGCCTCTGTTAACAGAAAAGTAGTTTTAGCCACAGTATTAAATTATTTCCTTTGGCCAAATAGTGATCTGTTTGCCCGCTGGAAAATGGTTACGAGAGAGCATAGTATATTTTATATTCATGTAACAAACAGTTATTTAATAGGCAGTATCTTTCCTGATGTCTAATTTACCTTTCCGTGGGTGACGTTTTTAAATGATATTTGGTTTGAAATTCCTTTTAGCCATCAGTGGCGAAAGTGGTATAATTTGTGGTAGCCGTTGGTGATTGACAAAGGGTCAGCAGAAGCCATGCATTGCAGATGTTTTCAACGTTCTAAGTAGTATGTAAACTGAGTAATGCATAATTATATTTTTACACATTTTGTCATTTAGGAATAAATACTGATCATTTCACATTAGTAGCCTTGCATTTACATAAATACCGTTTACTCGGTATGTCTGTGGTCAAAATAAGTTGTTTATTAATGATCCAGCAAGCCAATAAACAAAATGTTTGTTGTACAATGTATATGTGCTTGTATTATAATATAATGTAACAATAGGCAATTCAAATTGGTGTTTGAAGATTTAATCGAAAAGAAAAAATATTTTCGCATTAATGATGTACAATAATTACGTGAAACGTGAACATGGTTGATAAATAAACCCATGTACCCAGTAATACACAATCACACACAATTTTTGATCCTGAAAATAACTCCCCATGCCAACCTCTACCCCCATACTTTCAAGCGCAAACTTGTATCCAGAAATGTTGACTCCCTTGTTTGGGATGAAGTAGAAAAGAATGCAGCACATCTTGATTAAAATATGTGACACACAAAGTATACAAAGCCTGTAAAAGAATGTTTTATACAAACAACTGGTGGTTTAAAACGAGACCCTGTGTCACAGTCATGCCACATCTATTCCTATTTTTGTCTTGCCTGTAATGAAGTGACCCTATGCAGTGATCTTCCCTACCATTTGTAGTCTATCTTCCCATCTTGTGCTGTGATCTGCTTATATATTTAGGGCAAGCCATTTTAGTTTAACTATGTTTTAACTCCTTTGTGTTATGTGTATTCTGAATGCTTGTAATCTGCAATACATTCTGTCAATCATTAAAAT